TTGCGATCAGAGAGGTTGCCGTAGAGATAAGGGAGAAGACGTTAAAGTTTTGCTACTGCCTGGTAAGTAAGATAGTGTTGAAAATCTCACAGTGACTTACTTCAAGCTTTTGCTCGGAGACTTGCGTCTGATCATGCTTCCCAGACATGGTCCGTTGTAAATCCAGAGCCATCGCGTCATTCTCTTTGGCGTCAACATCTTTTGGAGAACTCATGCTGGCTTTCTCATTCACTCGTCGTATACAGCGCAAAAAACCGTTCGTCCGATGAGAAAAAGAGTGAACGCTCACGTCGCATGTTCAGCAGAATCATAATCGTGGATGCGCGGAATCAATCCGAACAACCTGGACTGATGAAGCGACTGTAACCATATGAGGAAGCAGTGGCCGGCCTGTCCAGATATGCTTATCTTTGCGCCGCATATTTCTATTAGCAGAGGGGCTCCATACTGAATATTTGTCCCTGATTCCAGTGCCTTTCTCCCACGTTCTATGTGAAGCGACCTATCTCGTCCAATCATCGAGGTGGGCTGTGAGAATTACCTAGGTAGAGGAACCGGTTCTGCGGGGAACGGCAAAGGAAGAGTGTTCTGCAGCCATCCCAACGCCAGTCGTAGATGTAGGCGGAATCATGCCGTGATGATGTACCTGACTGAAAATCAGATATGCGTGTCTAGTGCTCTGCGAGACACGATAGCCGTGGCGTATGCCCAGGTGGTGCGAGATGAGTAGTCGATGAGCCGATGTACTGCGCCCAGGTCCCTTGAAACTTGCTATGCTCGATTCGAACGCGTCAATACGAGCCGTCAAGTCGAACGCGTGCTGTTGAGTTCATAATCCACATGTTGGGAGCGGCGCTTCAGTTCGGTGTAACGTCGGGGAGGTTGGCGAGACGTGCTTGACGCGTCTTATCGGTGTTGCGGGCAATGCGGACGCAATTCCGCGATAACGCTAGCCTGGCGGTGGCCCACCAGCACCTGCAGTTGCAGCATCTACATGTCAAATGACAGCTACGGAGGCTATGATAGTATGTCGTGACTTTCGCAGTGGAAGTCATTTCCAGACTTCCTTGAGCCACAGTCGTTCCCTATTCTCTTGCCACGATGGAGGTCCTACGTGGAACGCTAGCACAATCCTTCTGAGTGATATTGTCTAACAGACTGGAATGAGACCCCCTTCAGAACAATATTCCATCTCGCGAGCAAGAATACTCTAAGAAACTACCACCACTTCACCCCCCTCCCAGCAAAAGGCCCGTCACCTAGCATCTGCTCAACAAGCCAATCATCAATAATCACGGCCGCAACCTTCCTAAGCTCTTTCATATGCCTTTTGCACAGATAGCCACCACGGTTTTCCGTATCTGGTCTCCATCTAATCGTATTACGGCAGTCGCGGACGGCGCATGGTTTCTGGAGGTAGCAGCAGGAAGTGAAAGAAGAGGAGATGGACGATAAAGAGGGGCGTGGGATTTTGGGCATATTTTCTGGTGTATGAGAAGACTAAAATAGGGGCGTTGTTGGATAGTTGAGATGGGATGATAGAGGCTGGTGTGGTTCACGTATATGCTCAAAAGTTCAGATGGATGGGCAATAGTTCAGCGGGACGACTACTATACCTCCGCTAACAATGCGTTGGCTGAAGATGCGATGTTGTCTTTGACAAACCCTCATCTGGGTCCAATCCAAGGACGTCCCGTATCCACGTATCCCCCAGCAGCAAACACGTGCCACCTGAACCATTTCGCCCACACTGCATCCCATCCGGCAATAGGAGTCGCATCTTTCCAATGGGCCCCCCACGCATCGATATCTAGATCCTCGTTTGACCAGCCTTCACGTCCGGTGTAGTCTTCCTTGCCAAGGATCCCGGACCTTTGTCTTCTTCCACTTCTGTTAACATAATCTTCTGCAACGCGCACATTCTCGCGCCTCTACTGCGAGATGCCCAACTCCTTGTAGAAAGCTTCGGTTTGGGGCTTGCGACCAAGGAACTCCTCCAGAATGTCCATCTCCTCCTTGGAACCACCACGCTCGAGAACCGTATGCCGGTAGCGACGGCCTTCGGTGGGATTCATGGGGTCCTTCTTGAAGACAGTGTAAAACATGTCTGTGGAGTAGACCTGAGATGAGAGGTAGCCGTAGTAGCTGTGATGGTTAGCATGTGATGTTTAGTAGAGTGATAGAACGTGGCTTACCCAGCGTCATAACCACCGATCAAGTGGCCAAACGTAGCCTGTCCGTTACCCCAGTGCCAGTCACCCTTCTTGTCACCCTCCAACGACTCAGGTCCCTTCAGCTGACTGATCTCGTGCCTCAGAGAGTTGTACTTCTCAGTAATATCCATCTTCTCAAGCTCCTCATGGCTGGCTGGCTCGTGAACGGCCATGTCAAAGGTGCCGAAATGCAACTGTCTCAAGTTGAACAGGGCGTCGTTGACATGCTTGGTTGAGATCAACTTTGCAACGAGTGACTGGGGGATCTGCTCCGCTGGCTTCTTGTCGGCGCCTGAAGACTCTAGATATGCCTTCTCGTAGTCGGCAGAGATGTGAGAGTAGTGGTGTGATAGAGAGCGTAGTTGCGACGGTGTCCAGCACCAGTTCTCCAGCATCTGAGATGGTGCCTCAACAAAGTCACGAACAGTGTTGGTGCCGTGGAAGCGAGAGTAGGTTGTCCGCGATACCAAGTCGTGAATACCATGTCCAAGCTCGTGGAAGAGGGTGACGACTTCATCGTGCTTCAGTAGCGACGGCTTCTTCTTTGTTGGCTTAGAGAAGTTGCAGACTAGTGCCGTTGCGGGGTATCGTCGCTTGCCGTTCTCGTCTATGTATCCAGGCTGGAGGTTGAAGTTGGCGGCGTGTCTACCGATAAGTCAGTATAGATTCCACATGCAATTCGTACAGCGGCTTTACTTACCCGTACTTGCCGTCCCGGGGGAAGAGATCGAGGTAAAGGTAACCGACAAAGCCTTCGCCCTCGCCTTTGTCATCCCAAACGCTGAAGATCTGCACCTCCTCGTGCCAGACAATATCGGAACCCTTACCGCCATCGGCAAGGGCAGCCCTGTCTTCCTCGCCAACGATTTCAACGAAGACCAGACCGAAAAGCTCCTCAAAGATCTTCAACATGCCCTGGATGGTCGTCTGTAGAGGGAAGTATTCAGCAATGACTTGGTGGTCCAGCTGATAATCCTTCTCCAGCAACAGACGGTCGTAGTACCGGTTGTCCCAGAGGTAGTAGTCTTTGGTCAGCGGGCCGGTAAGTCCATTCTCCTTCACATCTTGCTCCTTCAGTGCCATCAGCTTCTCAATCTCTTTCTTGCCACCTGGTGCAAGCCTAGTACGAAGGTCACCGAGGAAATCATCGACTGTCTTCGTAGTCTTTGCCATCTTGTCCTCTATCCGGAACTGCGCGTGGTTGTCGTAGCCGAGAAGGCGGGCGGCTTCATCGCGAAGTAAGATTGCCTCCCTGAATAGAGGTACGTTGTCGTTACACTTGTTCTCGTTCTCAACGAAGACCTTCATCCGCGTCTCCGGGTTTGTCGCGTACTTAAGCGTTGGGAAAAGGTCGGGGTACTTGAAGGTGAGGAACAGCTTGCCGTCGAATTCACCCTCTCCTTTCTTGAGTCCTGAGAGGACATCTTCTGGCACGCCGTGTAGCTCCTCAGGTGTGAACCACAACCCTCCGCTTTCCTCGTTGAGGTTCTTCTGGAACGCGATGCTGATCTGACTCAGACGCTGCTTGATCTCCTTGAAACGATCCCTCTTGGGGCCCGCAGGAAGATTCAAACCATTCCTAATGAACGACTTGTGGTCTTTCTCGAGCAGCCGCTGGGACTCCGGGTCCAGGTCCTCGCCCTTCTTCAGTACCGCATCAATGAGGTTGAAGACATCCTCGCGCATGGACGACTCAATACCGAAGTCATCGAGCATCTGTTCGACCTCGCTGGATGCATCGCGCAGCTCCTTGCTTGTTGACACAGCGTTGTAGAAGCCGAGGATATGCGATTCGATGGCCATCTTGTTGTCATCGCGGGCGATGGGAAGGAGTACGTTTGCGAAGTTGGCGCCGTCGGGCTTCACGTCGCGGACAATGGCATCCTGGACACCTCGTGACCTATCGATCTGGGGCAAGCGTCAGCATTTGGTCGATGTACCCCTCCGGTGGGGTCGGCAGTAGCAATTGCGACCGGAGGCTTTGGAATCACGGAGCTGCACATACCAGTCGCTTTGCGTCGTTCACCAAGCTTTCCTTGGTAGCCGTGAACTTGGGCGGCAGTTGGGGCGGTGTCTTGTATTGTGAGGGGGCCATGGTGGAGTTGGTAAGCGGCCTAAACGGTTGTGTGTAGAGGGGGTGCCGTAGAGGCGAGGGCTTGACGTATTGCAGTATAGATGGTACGCGGCCGCCGAGTCGGATTGAAGCCAGGATGGCGGATGTTGCGATGAAGAGAGCGACAGCGGCGAGGAATAGCTTGGTAAGGCGTGAGGAAGCCACGGTGCAGGTGGGTAAACGAGGGCCTGCTACTTAAGCCGAGATGTGGGGGAGATCCACAGGAGCGATTGGTGTGCTGCGATAAACAACGGCCTGTTAGCTGCGAGCACGACGGTGAGAGCGGTCGAGTATAACGCGGGCGTCTACGTGACCTCTCCATCGCTCTCTGGACAGCCGCATGAGATCGCCGCTGACGCCCAGGTGGATAGCTCCGCCCGGTGTTAGCCTCAAATGGCAAGGCGGCATCGTTAAACCCATGTCAACCTGCACCCCTCATGCAACACCCGATGTTAGACATGGCCGCAGTCGGCCGTGACGAATGTCTTCCTGCAGCTGCCAATGTGCATACAGAACGCGACATTTGTGTTCATGAGACCAGCGCAGTCTGTGCAGTTCACAAGTGACACAGCTATTACGAGTTGCTTACATTCTTGAGGGAAAAAAAAAAATGAACTTCATTAAAGGCAGATTATCATTATCGTTACAAATACAAGAAGGCACCCCTGAATTCCTCAGACCGTCATGTGCGGATGCTGTTGTGGCTCTAGCAATGTCTCGCCCCTGCTAGCTGAGCTCAGGCTTTCCGGTATAGTGATGAAAGGCCCCCAAGCAGACCCTCTAGTACGCACTGTCTCTTCGTGTATTGTGATGAAGCAATTGTCCTGCTCACTGGCTCTCTTGACGTCCTGGAGCGGCCATTCGCCCATATCGAGTGCTTTGTGCTGGCTAAAGGCATCGATCTGAACAGGCCGCGATGGCACTCTGTTGACCTTCACTGGCGTTGCGCTTCGTTCTTCCTTTTGAGTACTGCGAAACAAGAGACGCAGGAATGGTATAGATGCAGAGATTATGCCGCTGTTGGTCTCAACCTGACCCCACAGGAGTAGGTCGTTTCCAAAGCGCGCAGAGTTGGAGGGTGACTCAGCCCATAGCATCATGACCCACATGCGTACAGACGATGCGGTTATGGCCATGATGCCAACTGAGAAGATGCCAATGAGTGCTAGACGTTTTGTCATAGCTATGCGAAGACTGAGAAGTGTCGGAAGGGGAAGCATGAGGATGATGATATCGGTTATCAGGTTGGATGCCGAGGAGAACACCCATAGCTTGATGGGGTCGAAGCATTTGACTGGCTTTCGGTGGGCGTTTGGGTTGCGATCGAACTGAGCGAAGTAGTTGGTCGTCGACCAAGCGTCTGATGGGTTCTCGCATTGAAAGGTGGATGCCATGCTTGCAGCAAACGTGTACATGCAGACGAAAGCGATCGTAGCATAAACGAGCTTGCGGAACGTGCGGTTTGCGGCGATGGCGCGGTAGAAGAAGAGGATACTGAGCTTGACGAAGCCCAGACCGATGGTGTAGGTCAAGCGGTAGACCCACCATGAGATGAGATTGCCACGCACTTGCGGCTCGATCAGGGGTCGCTTTTCCTGGATGAATGTTAGACATTGTTGTTGGCTGAACTTTAGTCTCTCTCACTGGATTAAATAGGTAGCTTGGACGACTATGGGCGCTGGTCTCATCTTGATAGAAGTTCACCACGAAGTTGCCCCATGTAACTACCTGAATCTCATTAGCTTTATCGTCAGAGAGACGCAGCTAGTACTTACAAGAGCCACAAACATGAGGTGATCGCTAGCGCTGACAGTTCCCATCAGAAACCATCTGCAATAGTATCTGCTCGAATCCGTTAGCCCGGTCCCATATCATATCAACGCCAATCAGTCTTACCGCAACGCTACGATGACGGTCGACATCGTCGTGAGTATCGCCCCAACAATCACCACCACGTATCCCGGCCGGAAGTACATGTTGAATGGCTGCGCGTGAAGCACAACAAGGAGAGTATCTAGGCTCGATTGAACGGTTCGACGTGTGCAACAATGCGCCCGGACAGCAAGAGAAGAAAACGGATGTATGAACAAACATGAACATGAACAAAGTGAGTCGGGCCTGAGCGTTCGGTTATGAGGACGGATACAAAATGCAAACCTGAGGATTCCCCGGATTCTGCACAAGCGGGAGGGAATGTCCCATAGGCCGTGTGGCGCTCCTTACGCGTGTGAACAAGCATTACTATCCCAGCTGTGGCGATCATGCGAGAGAAGCGACCGGATGGCTCGACGCGAAGTGAACCATAGTACATGTCTGGAGCATGTAATTGGTCTATTGCATCGAGAAAGTTCGCAGCTAGCGAATGATGCAAGGCTTAGAAACCGTTGTATAACATCGGGCAGCCATATGATCGGCCCGTAGCCTTGAAGAATCCACAAGAATCCACAATGGCATGGTATGAAGGAACAAAATGGGGCTGCGTCGTGATCTTGGCGCATGTGGTACGATGAGGATAGAGACACTATCTCTATGCTGGGCTACGAAAGTCATGCGCGCTAAGTCCAAAACAGGTACTAACTGTGAAAGGAAAAGAGACAGCGGCCATGTGGCTGGATCCGGGTAGCAAAAGGCTTGCATGATGTGATGGGCTCGGCAGTAGAGCTTCCATCAGACCCACTTTTAGCCGGGTGGGCGTTGTGACGTGAGTGTCAGAGACCCTGAGGCTGAAACGCTTGTTGCACGCGTTACTCAACAACGAGGGCCTGAGGCGATAGACGAACGACGATGTCGCATTCGGATGCTATTACGTAGTCTACGAATTGAAGTGCTCGGGCATCGTGCTGGTCAGAAGAGCTCGATGGGATCGTGCATATTGAGCCTAGACCACCCTCAAAAGATTGCCGATCAAATGCTGTAACGACACGCCCTGGATTGTGGGTACTTGAATGGAAGATAGGAAACATGAAGTTGCGATGAAGTCGGCAGTCTCCTGGTAAGCCGGGATGAGGATGGAAAACGACGTCGCAAGGCAAGACGGAATGCGGTACAGAATGCCGGCCTCGAAACAAGGTATCGTAGGAAACGTCAAACCCCGGTAGAAGAGGTGTAGAGCCCACCGCTGCAACACAGTCAGTAGCACTTTCCTGTGGTCACAGTCTGATGTTCATGGGAGTTGCAGCGGTAGGTGCTCTCAAACAACTGCGGGGTGACGACTGCCGAGCGGTACACGAAGAGCGGCATCTGAAGGCCGCTTACACCGACGCGCAAGTTGAATCTGGAGGTGGCTGGCGGCGCCAATGAGTCGTTGTTGGAAGAGAAAGGGGCTGTAAGACAAGCCAAGGATTCGGACACATCCTGAGTGAGAATGACTCACCGTCGTGCTCTATGATTGGACTATTGCACAGCTTTAAGTGGGGCTGTGAACATCATCCGGGACAACACTTTGGACTAAGGCACCGCAGCTGCAAGCCTCAGGCTTTTGCGTTCAGCGAAAAGGGCGTACGGTGTTTTGGCGACGGAACGTCCGGACAGTTTTCCAAAGCGAGTACGATTTGGCAGATGATGCTGTTGTTGATGTAGGACATCGTCGAGGGTGATGCTCACTTCGACTCATTGTGAGGTTAATTGACGTCTTTAAGGGCTCAAGTTGTGTAGATAGAGGCTCTTGCTCATTATGAGCAAGAGTGATTGTCGTAGAAGATAAGATGTAAACACCAGTATAAACTGAGGACAGTACAACATAGAGTCGTATGTAGAACAGATAATGAATTCATCATTTGACCAGACTAACAGTGAGTATACACCACCAGAACCCCTTGACCTCTGAGATTAAACCCTATTTTGCCGATCTGAACATCGCCCTGAACAGGCGTACCATGATCCGACCCATTGTCCGACATCGTCTGAAAGGAGGCCTCTCTAGATGATAGAACAGAAAAGATTATGCCATCACATGCTGACCGACCGATACAGGGCTACTTCTGAGAACGGAGCAGGGCACGAAGCGTCTCGACCTCTCCCTCTAACCTGGCATTACGAACCTTAAGGTCGTCTCGCTCGGCTTTGACTTCCTTGAGTTCGGTCTCGAGGGTACTCATTTGATCGACGCGCTTTTGGCGGTAGCGACGAGCAGCAAGAGTGTTGGCCTTGCGCTTCTCAACTCGGCAAGAGGGTTCTGAATCCTTGGGGCTGTTCTTTGAGGATGACAATTTGGACGACGAAATTTGCTCAGGAGGTGATGAGCTCTGATCCTTGTGACTTGTCGAGGAAGAACCAGACTGAGAGTAATCTACGTAGGTTAGTTACTGAAGGAGAAGAAGCGTCGCGTAGTCCTTACCTCTGGTCATTGGCGCACAAGTGTTCATAGTGTTGATATTGCCCATGCCAGGCGGCATGGCAAGCATGTTCATATTGTCTTCCGTGATCGAAAGTGAAGTAGGCCCGCCAGGAAGCAGTTGCGTGCCATCGCCAAGATATTGTGAGTCAGAATGGGGGAAGAGGTCCCAGTCCGGAGTGGTATGAAAAGAAGGGTCCGGTGCAAGTAGACCACCTGTCAAGGCGGCGGACGAAGAAGTAGAAGAAAGAAGTGAAGTGGTATCGAACAGAGCACTGTTGTTATCGGCGGTCGAGTAGGAGAGTGCGAACTCCCAGTTAATAGACTGACTTCCAGGGTGGTTTGGCGACGACACGGAGTTGCTGTGGCTGCCAGTACAGGCGGGCGAGTTCGCTTGGAACGAATCGCATGGAGAAGATTGAATACTGCATTTCGGGATGTTAAAGGGCGGGTCCTGGTACCCGCTGGTGAAATCGAAGAAATCGTCAAGTGAAATTGGAAACTATCTGAAGGCGCCCAGCACTGGGTGATGAGCGCGAAGTTTGGTGACGAGAGGAAGAGGAGCGCGGGGTGGCTTCTCTTTATACGGGAGGCCGGTGCCTAGGTGGGTTTGGATTACCTAGGGCTGATGGCTGATGGCATGCGCTAGCGGCCTACCCCGGTCGCAGTTTCCTGCAAGTTTGAATGTAACCCGGCTGCGCCCACCAGCATCGGCAAGCACAGCCCACACCGACGACATGGCGACGATACACCCCTCACGATTACTACGGCCCAATCTCGCATTGGTGCAACAAGACACGGTCCTGTCTTTCCTGGTGCCGTCGGTCCAGTGCGCGCGCTTTTCCACATCACCCGCCCGATGGAAAAGAGACAACAACCGGAACAGAGGCAATTCCGCCGTCAGAGCTACCGGTCTGCGTCCTAGACAAACATTGTCGGTCAAGGAGAAAGATTTTGCAAAGCAGCGGTTGCCCAAGCCCGTCAAGATCGAGCAGGAAGTGACTGGCACACCCGACCACGGCCTGTGGGATTTCTTCAAGGACCAGAAGCTTTTGCAGACACCAGTAGAAGAGCAGCAACATGGTAGGCTGCCATTGGACTCATGGTGGGGTGCGGCTGGCTGACAGAGACACAGGAAGGTCGTGGACCGTTGGCGAGCTGCGCAGTCGAGACTGGGAAACCCTGCATCAGCTGTGGTGGGTATGCGTGAAGGAGCGGAATCGCCTTGCGACCGAGAAGCTTGAGCGAAAGCGCCTGGACGCGGGCTACGGCGACTTCGAGAACGAGGAGCGGGACAAAACGGTGCAGGAAACGATGAAGGCGATTCTCGACACATTGGCCGAGCGACACCAGGCATACCAGGAAGCCTTTGTACTGGCGCAGCGCGATCCAGATATCGACCTGTCAAGAACAGACGGACCACAGTACACTCAGACACCATACGTACGTACAGCTTCTGAGGACGGCTAGCCACGTGCTAACCCATTTGTAGGAACCCGTAGAAGCGGACGAGACGCCGTACGAGACTCCGGCCGAGCAAACCATCGAAGAGCCCTCGAAAGACAAAGTACTTCCAGAACCCGAAGTGCAACCGAAGGAGAAGGTGAATCACGCATAATGAGGATCATGAGTGCAGGGGGCATTTGCGCCTGGGTAGCTACCCGGCGAGGAATATACCTGTTGAAACTTTTGCAACGGTGCGGACATGGTACGACTGTGACTCTACGATCATAGACGCATCGCATATGGGATGGCGAACCAGGAGCACTGCTAGTGCAGTGAAGATGCTGTACAGATTAGGGTGGCCAGGGCGGCCTCTGTAGCATATCGCGTGTATCAGAATCAGTCATGAAATCAATGAATTGCACTAGTCAAGCGTATGCTAACCGCGAGGAGTTATGAAAGTAATGCGAGCATAAACAGCCCTGGAGGTCGACCAGATTGGCGAGGCGCTTCCCAGAGAGAGCTACAACCCCACATCCATCACACCGCCTAGGGCTAACACCGCCTGTCCACGCGCCTTCTTAGCGGACACCCTCTACCGCAATCCTCAACTTTCTTATTCTGCACCCGACATCTGACAGCCATGGACGAGATTGCCCCCGAATACGACGTAGTGGTCCTGGGAACAGGTGGGTTGCCCTTACCCCACCTACGTAACGCTGCCGTCGCGGAAGCTAACTATCTCCAGGTCTCACGGAATGTGTACTTTCAGGGTAACACACGGACGCGTGCCAGTTTTCGAGTCCATACTGACATGCTTGCAGAGTCCTTAGTGTCAAGGGCAAGAAGGTGCTCCACATCGACCGCAACGACCACTACGGCGGGTATGTTATCTGAACAGGTACTCTGAGGGGGGCGAGAGCTAACAAGAAGCAGTGAGGCAGCATCGCTGAACATTGAAGCTGTAAGTCCACAACAAGCCTGGCAGTCCAACACATGCTAACCCGGTGACTAGCTCTTCAAGCGTTACGGCCAGACCGAGGGCGAGCCATGGAAGAAGTACGGCCGCGTCAACGACTGGAACATCGACCTCGTCCCCAAGCTGCTCATGTCCAACGGTGAACTCACCAACATTCTCGTCTCGAC